TTACATAAAAGTTTTTTCAATTTATGTGAGTTTAAAGAGATCTCAGTGATGCTTAAAAAAGAATAAATTTAACATGAAGACAGTGATTTTAAGTCTGGTTAGTCTGACTGTAAGTCTGATTAATTAGAGTGATTAAATTAACTAGGTGTATACCGTAAAATACGTTGATTTTTGTCTAAATTTTGATTTTTAATTTCTGTAAGATTTTCTTATTTTTTATTAACCCTCAATACCGAAATAATCCCGGGATCGAATAAGTATAATCCCGAAATCCCGGGATTAGAAATAAGGACCGGGATCGAATTCCCTAAATACAGTACTGTAATTTTATACATTTCTTGTGAAAGAAACATTTCTTATTCAACAGCCATAAAAATTATTTATATTAATGACGTCTCCAAAGGTCAACGAATTTTTCACAGAAAAATAAATCGCGGCTGCCGTTTGGTGCACTGCTCCGCGACGAAAACAAGCTTAAGCAATGGCGACGTCGAACGATGCACACTCGGTAAGTAATTCTACAATTTTTTGTTTATAGCATAGTTTATATGGATTACTCCCAAAAAATTATACGTGTTTTGGAAATGTTAAGTCAAATTAGTCTAGAATCGATTAATTTTATGGAAGAAAACCTTTCAAACAGCCGTAGTCCATAAACTTCACACGTGTCGGGCTGTAATTGGCTCATGTATTTAAGGATTCCTACAACGTGAAATTCTTATAAAGTGGAACATATCTACCATGTTATAGGGGGGGTCTACTGTACTTGTTGCTTGGGTGTTAAGCTAGCACCTCTAGCACACTAGGAATTGTGAAATGAGGTGTTGACACAAAGGATAACCAGAATCTCCATATAAAACAAATTGGGTCCTGTTCTCAGAACAAGGAATTGCAGCCAAATGCTCTAACAAATTAGATTCTCTTAACATTCAACTGTCATGACGTCTTCCTTCTATTGGTCCAAATAAATTAGCAATCATACCATTGGGTGTAACCACTGATTGAAATTTCAAACAATGTATACGTTTATGACCACTGAATACCACTCTTTAATGTGTTTTTGGTCGACAAATAGGACATGCCGTTCCATCTATGAACCCCCAACAATTTGTCAAAGGAGCACTTTTTGCTGTTATTACTTTGCTAAATAAATTTAATTTTTCTCTTGTTAGTTTTATCTCGTTGATATTCAATAACAATTTGGAATGGCTATTGCATATGATATTTACTGTTTCATGCACAAATCGTGAAAGTTCATTTTTTGATCTCACCAACAAAACAGAAATATCATCTAGTGTATTAGGATAAACTAATCTTCATAATAAAATACATAATGTATCAATCCCAAGTGAACGTGATCCATTTTCACAAATGATTACAAATGGAAGGCGTAAAGCAGAATGCAGATGAAACAAATCATCTCTTGAAAATCTGTTAAAATTAAAAATTTTTTAAGTATTATTCCTTTTTTTAAGTATTTATTTTAATTTATAAATATATCACTTACTGAAAATAAAACAAGCAATCAGAATCAGTCATTTTATTTAAATTTATTCTTGCTTTTGTCACAGGTAGATCTTTAGTGGTATGATATAATAAAATAGCTTCTTCATCTCTTTCATACTGATTAAACAATAGTAATACCTCATCACTAGACTACAAATATAATTTTAATTACATGCTTAATGTGTGAAAAAAAAAGTAAACACAGCCTTTGCGTTTCTGTGGTCACTTCACATTACATTAAAAAATATTATATAATCAAATAATTTTTGGATTAAAATTGTCTTTCTTTACAATGTTATTCATAAATGCTTAAATAATCGTTATTTTAATAAAATAGGTCATAATTTTAACCCCAAACAGAAAAAAAAAATGAAGAAGTTTAAGCCGATCGTATACTTGCCATTCCAGACAAAGCGAACGCCATTATCGACCGCCTAGAATTGCCAGATGGTAGTGCTCCTTCATCTGCCGTACACATTTTGGGCTGAATATGTGCACCTCAACCACTCTTATCTGCATATATATCCTAGAATTTCTGGTCTTAATCTCTTAAAAAATTAGATTCAGTTAGTATATTTATACAATAAGTAACACTATATATTACTAATGCTGTAAATGTGATGCAACCTCTGCAAAGTAAAATGTTTACATTGCCTTAGTATAAAAAAACAACACAATTTTACATTTCAAAGACATTTACAAATGTACTGAAATGGATCTTTTTGAATTTTCAGAGATTCTTTTTAATTATGTTGATCCTGTTTTCAACTTTCAACTATATACAAAGTTGAACAGAAACAAAACATGAAAAATATAGGTTCAGAACAAAACTTATTTTAAACTTTCAAACTGTAGTAATAACATTAAAAAATCAATAACAAAATGATAGCAACTTAGATTTGTAATTAAATTTGTGATATGATTATATTTACACTTTGTTATGGGATATATATTTACTAATTTAATTTTGTGCTTGGATACCCCAAGCACAAAAATTTCTGCAATGTTCAGTACTAGTTGCCACACTAATACAACATTGAAGCCTATTTTCATCATACTCTTAATAACGTGTGTGTGTGTGTCACAAAATATTTTACAATGTTTTGTAGTTTATAATTTAATTTCTAATTTCTACTGATTCACTAAACATAATTATAAATAATTTCTTCTATTTTATTTTGTGACTTAAACAAATGATTTAATATATATTTTTATGTACCACTTGCATTTATTTTGTTGTGCTCTTTTTTTATTTATATATTTATTTAATTATAAATGCCAATTAAAAATTTTCATTATTGTTCATTTTACTAAATTATCAATACTAGTGCTTACTGTAATTACACATTCTGAACCTGTCAAATTATTACTGTGCTGATTAATATTGAAAATGGTATAAACAATTAAATAAACCATGTAAAAGTAGACATGTTTGTTGTTTTGTTATTTATGGTAAAATTGTAACTTTCTATTATTAATTTAAATAACTCTTAACCCAGCCCCACAATTTTCTGAATCAACAAGCCATCACTGCTTAAAGTTATGTTACCTTTCTTGTAGTTGTCGTCCAGGAATAAGACCAGCTCTACAATTTCTTTCACCATGTCTACGAGCCTGCCACCAGTTTGGGTCTTCCTGATTTACAATATGTAGTATATCCCCTTTTGAAAATGCTAAACCAGCTTCCTTACAGGGAATTAATGCATCAGTCATAGGATCATAACTGAAATGTGCTCTCACTCTTACACGGCTCTCTCGTGCAGGAAAACAATCTTCTCCAGGAACTAATTTAAAAGTGATTGTTCCTTCTTTAGCTTGCTGAAAATACATATTAAGAAAATTTCATTATACTTCAGTAAAATAGTATAATTGTATCAATATCAGTTTAACTAAATGACTTATCAAAATGTTTTACTTAATTTTGAATAAAAATTTTCAGTAAGCAAAGTAATTTATTTACAAAAATAAATAATGAATGGATAAATAAAAAATACAAATTTTCTTTATTTTATAAACAAATAGTTTTAAATAGTTTTTAAATATGCAATGCAATAAAAATGATTTTTTTTTTATAGATTGTAAATTACCAGAATATTAACAACATCATGTGGAGTTTTCCCACGAACACTTATTCCATTCACTTCATGAACTTCATCTCCAACATGAATAAGACCTATATTGTTGAATAATAATAAGACTTCATTAATTTTACAAAAAGAATTTTCTCTCTTTCCATTTTAATCAATCTATTAAATATATGTTAAAACTATTAAAGTGCTTTGAAATCTTTTTATCAATAAACAGCAAGACAACTGAAATAATGTTTAAGCTGATACTAAAATTTGACAATTTTTTATTCTTGAATACTTCTGATATATACATTTATGCTGTCAAAAAAAAAATAGGTGAAGAGAACTTAGATGTATAATAATCTCCAGTGAAGATTTCATCTCTGACTTTTAAATATTTTTCTTCAAAATAAAAATATAATATTGAGCATGTGAGGTCAAGATATTTATTAAATATAATGACTAGACAGAATGTGAAAGTTAAATTTTGACCAAAAAATACATAAACATATGAATTTTAGAAGAAAATTTTAACTATTAAGTTTTAATTTTTTTTTGGTTCCTCAATTACATGCTACTAGGAAAATTTGTCCCCTGGCTGCCTACAGTAGCCCAACTCCCTGCTCACTTCACTCATTTGTTTCCAATATAGACTATTTGTAATGAAAATTCAATAATTGTATACTTTTGTCTGTCCAATTCCGAATGACAATCTCATAACATAAACCAAGTTCAGATCCATTTTGAATTGCACCTCCATATTCAAATTGATTGAAAAAACAGTTTTAATACAAATCACATAAAACTTTCCTTTCAGATATTTTCCATCATAACTGAACACAGAAAAACCTTCAGATTCCAGAGCAAAACAATTTTTTTTTCTGAATTGATTGAATCTCTCAATTATTTTGAATATCCCACAGAAAAACGTTACACTTCCATAGTTACATGATTTGCTTCACTTGCTTGCCTCACTTATTTCCAATAACAAAAATTCCACAATGGTTTAACTAGAGGGACCAATCCTTGTTCACTTTTCTCTCCTCTAAAGTCTCCCAGTTTGCTTTGTCCCCTGGAGCCAACCTCCTCTTGCTTGCTGCACTCACTTATTCAAAAATTTTGTAGTAATGATTCATAGATTTCCAGTGCCAGAGGTTTAGCTACTTAGTGCCAAAATTGCCACATGGTGATATTTTTATTAAAATGGAGATAAAAACCCTAGTCCTTTTATTTCAACGTTCAGTGTGAAATTAAATCACAGAACATACTTCAGGAAAAACAACAGAATCTTGAACTCCTGTGCAATGGGAGTCCTATGTACAACACACGTAGTGTGTGTCATGATGTCATATCGCAAATTTGGTGGAAAGCAGGAAATAACATTGAAAACCAAAGACAGTTTTCATGCAATGCCACTGTGAGAATGAGAGAGTCGAAAGTGATTTTATTTGAAAATTTATTCATTTTGTTTATCACATGCTGGTACAGTCTTAGATTTACCCACTTGATTAATAATTTCAATGTAATATTTTAGCAATAGACAAAAGTCAAAATTTGTCGTGGGAAAAGGAAATAGAACTTCCTCTAGAAAGTTGTTATCGTTCATATCTGACGAACATCTGTTCCTTTCGTCAGATATATGTCCTGTCAGATGATCAGAATCCTAAAATCTGATTGGTGGAAACTTAGAATAAAAAGGGGAAAAATTACAAGTTCGGAGCAGTCCACAAAGAAAGGAACTTGCCACAGAGACAACAGTTCAAGGGAAGAAGGAACATGCCATAAATGACAGGTAGTCCACAGAATTTGAACCTGCCATACTATTATGCTCTGACTCTCCAGCATTCATCTTGAATTCACCAAGTCATGCCCCCCTATCAGGAGAGAAGCTCTACAAGGTATTATCATTATTTTAACCAATTGTAAACTCTCTCTCTCGTGTTTAGAGGTGTATTTTAGATAGGCTCTATTTATGATAGGTTATATTATGTATCTCTTTGTTTTATTTTACTCATTAAATCCTTTTTGTTGTTTGTTAAAAGTAATGTCGTAACAACCCCTGTAGTCTCACACCACCAAGTGCTTCCACATTAGGGATTTTTTATCGACTGAATAAAAATTTGGGAAATTTTTTGGGGTGACATTTTTTTCAATTTGATCTTTTTCAGTAGACTAAAGCATAAAAACTTTATGACAGAACCTGTAAAATACTGCTTAAGCATTGTAATCAAATGTGTTATTCAGAATTATTCATTAAAAAATTATTCAAAAATGATTCTTATTTCTAAGTTTCAGCTTAAAGTGTTGCTTTTGTTTTCCAGTCTCCAAAACTGGTAAGGTTACCACCAATCTGTATTAATTAGCAAGTAAAACTGTTGGCAACAAATAATTTGAAGTGACAAAAATGTTTTAAACTTGCAAAATGGTTGGCGATTTTTTTAAAAATATTCCAGAGCAATCCTGGCAATGCACCATTTCTATTTTGTTTTTTGTGACAGTGAAGAGTGCTGTGATGAGTTTAAGATAAGTATTTTATATATATATAGTAAATTCAGATAAGTTATGCATATAAGATCAAATGTTTGTATAATGAAAGTTCTCCCTATTTTGTTTTTAGTCTCTATAATCAGAGTATCGCTTGTAACTAAATTTTGTGCTGTAATTTCCTACATATTACCTTCAGCAGACTACAACCTGCATCAAGAAATTGCAGAGAATTGCTAAAACAAAAATATAAAACATCACAGAACCCATACACTGCTATATACCCTGCACCTCTGAAGTTGCTGGTGAAAACATGTCACTTCATTTATATGTCAGTTAGAAGACATTGTCTCAGATATTGTTATTTTTTCTCCAGTTCTTCATTTTCTTTCCATTAGCAATTCAATGCAGATGTAATTATAAAGTAAGTAAAACAAAAGATAGAATATTTGAGACAGAACTACATAAACTTTATTATTTCACAAAAATGAGTTTAAAGCATGTTTCAAGGATTGGAAAAAACATTGGCATAAGTGCATTGCACTGTTAAGCATTACTTTGAAGGAAATGAAATAAATTTTGACAGATAAATTCAAATTTTGCATTTGATTGAACCATTCCTGAAACTTTTTGATAACAGAGTAAATACCTTTAAAGTAGTATCATGTGAAAATTATTGAACAATAAGCAATTATTAATGATGCAACGAATATTCGGTTACTATTCGATATTCGGCCAAATACCTAAAAAAGAAGAAAGAAATAAAAAAAAACAGTAAATTAATCATTTTGGTAACTTTTATTAATGCTGAACATACATTTCAAGTTCGAGAAAGTGCAATTTATTGCTTATTTATGTAAAAGATCAAGGAAAAAGTAATATAATTAAGTTATTTTTTTAAGAGATCAAAAAAAGGTAACAAATCAAATGAAAACTACCTACTTATTATGTAGTTTAGCCATCCATATACTCGTATATAAAAGAACAAGTCCTGATAGGATAATTAATGCAGAGCCAAAACTACTGGTGCTAGAAACTTAAAAAATTTGAGGGTGTGTTCCTTTTGTAAAGTTTAGGCATGCTAAGAAAAGATTTTACAAAATTCAACCCTAAAAGAGTGAAAAGGGTAAAAAAATTAGTATGAAAATTTTTACTGTGTGGGCACATTAGATCGAAACGTAGATCATAAAATGTGAAAAAAATAATAATTAATGATCTGTAAAGCATTTTTATGCAATCATCCCTTATTATAAACTTGAAAATTAAATTAACTTTTTGTTTCATTGTAAAAAAATTATTTATCATAACTGAAATTCCAGACAGCTTGGTAGCCTGAATGGCCCCAGTCTGTGCATGCTAAGTGACTTTCATTACAAGCATTTAGCTTTCCAACATCTATGAGAACAATTATTTGGCATTGATGGCTGCAAATTTCGCACCAATAAGATGCCTCAACTTGTTCAAATATGTTATCAATTGAATTTCATATTTATTTTCACATTTTCACTTTGCAGTCGTTCTCTGTTCTTTTTCAGTTATTTACACGTGTAGGTCATTTCATTGTTATCCACATTTGATATCATCATTTATCACATACTGCCATGACGCTCATGTCTGTCTGCTACAACTGTCAAGAATTAACGCAATTGCGAAGCATAGTGACAGCGGGCCAATAGAGAACAGGGTGCGCGATCCTTGCCATAATGTGGTTTGCACGCCAATTTTCGTACATGCGTTAATCAAGCCGAATAGTTTGGCCAAATATTAGGCTATTCGGCCTGAGGCTGAATATACTATTTGTTGCATCACTAGCAATTATATGTTCTTTGGAACTTAGCATAAAGTTGCTCTTGAGAACAAATCATACAAGAACACTTCTTTCAATGGAAAAAGTAGTGTTCCTGTATGATTTGTTCTCAAGAGCAACTTTATGCTAAGTTCCAAAGAACATACAACTAATTGAGAGAACAGCAAGCAATCAAACAATAAGTAATTACGCTACCAAGATATTAAATTATAATGTATTGATTTAATTTAATAGAAAAACTTTTAAATTAAAATTTCTTCAAAATTTAAACACAGTTAACTGTAAAAGATAAATTATAATAAATCTAATCTAACTGTTGATTAGACTAAACATACCACTTCGATCAGCTGCTCCTCCATGCATAATTCTAGCTATTATTATTGCTCCACTTGCATCATCATATTTTATCGTTGCTCCCTAAATTTAAAAATTCAATAAATGATGTTATTAAAGAATTTCTGAAGTATAAAAACAATAAATCAATTTTCAAACTCATGAAAATCAGTATAATCTTAAATAATACAAACACATTATTGAATTAAGTTATTTAAAAATTATTATTTATAATAAAACTTTATACCATATTTTCATAGATTGACCAGCATGCCGCACATAACTGGGAGTTACCAATACAAAAGTTAAACATATTGGTAACTCCCAGTTATTAAAAAAATTAAATCAATCAGATCTAATAAACAGTTGTTAATTAAAAAAATCATTCTTCCAAGTACAATAAAATATCATTGTAATTTGACTGACTTAAAATCAGAAGGAGAGTTTTCCTTTATGGGACAATAAAACAATTAGTGGCTTCCACCACTAATTGTATTCACATTAGTGGTGGTAGTAGTAAATTAGTGTGGGCTGCACTGACAATCTACCCTGATCTTAAAAATAACATCATCTCAAATTTCACATGGCTGATATTAATTGATGATTTCTGAAATTTAATATGTTTATTTTTGCATTTTTGAATCAAATTACAATAAAATAAACATAAAAAAAAAGGCACTTTCAGCATTCCATAAATACTTTAATCATTAGAAAGAAGATAAAATAAAGAAATTAAACATGTAATCATAGGTTTGGATGTAATGCAGACAGTTTTACAGTTTTAAAATAAAAACTCATCCTTTTTTTTAATGTGCCCTCTAGAGGGGGATGTATAACCTCACTTAGTGTCATGACAGCATTTCCCTAGAATAAATCAGCATGCTGATTTTCACCTTACAGAAATATCTGATTTCATGGTCTCCTTTAGATAGACTGATATGCCAGACAATATGTGAAAATATGGTATTTCACAAAAATGTTAAATTAACTCAATCTAGTAGTCTCTTTGTACATTATTATTCAATAAATAATAACAATAACAAATACATGCATTTAAAAAAATACTCATTCACTTATCTGCCTGTTTATATATACATTGAATATATAAATTATCTATCATATAAGAAGACAACTTTGTCACATACTGCTTGACGAAATAATTGATTCTGTCTAAATTAACCTAACAGGTGGTGGTATATGAAAAAATGTCTTTTAAATGTCTAAGTAAACTTACAGCTACTAATGAAAAACAACACACAAAACTATTCTAGTTAACACTTAATAAAAAATATATTTTAGTAATTCAACTACAGAAAATTCACAAGTTTTCTACACTTAGAGAACTAAAGTCTAACTTATACTAATCTCTACCAACAAACCAATAATAATTAAATCACTTACAAATGCTCTTATAATCTAACTGCCTAACTGTCATTCCAGAAATGCCAAAAATCTTATTGCTTTGGAACAGGTAATCTGACCTCTGACTTAGTAGCTCATCTCAATTTTCTTCCCAGTTCTTGGTTATTTTATACTCCTGGAGTGTGATGTCACAACAGCTCACACCACCCTACCCATTTAAATATATACTAACAGTTAAATCTAATTCTTAGCAATCTGTTTCTGACAAAGTCAGTCCCAACCTTTTCATAAATTTATTTTCTGATTTTTTAATACAAGTCAATATGATTTAGTGACTATTCTTTTAACTCCTTTTGGAGACCGCTTAATTATAGATGCCATTTTTAGATTGGTGATGATAGGTTCACGAGTGACAATCACTTACATAAGTAATAATTTTTTGTTATTTTTGAATTTAGAATTGAGAAGTGTGGGAACATTAATCCTTAAAAAAATCCCCAAACTATAGCACAACTATAAATAAAACAAAATATAATGTTTGAACTTGACTCCTTACAACTTCAAAAATAGATTACAAATAATATTTGATCACACATAATAAATATAATACTAATCTGCCTAATTTATAACTTGAATAACAATAATTCCTTTATTTAATAATAACATTTTTCATGAAATAAGCATATCACTATTAAATGATAATTTAATAATTAAACTATTTGGAATTTAATTTTAGAAAATTTGAGAAAATAATAATAAGAGAAATACTTAAATATGCACTCTTACAGATAAATCCCAACCTGACTTCACAGGAGTATGCCAGATACACCATACCCTTGTAGATGTACAAAGAACTTTCAGAGAATTAAAAAAAATTTGCAATGTTCACCAGATGTAATTTTAAATCAGAAATTCTTCAATTTAATTAAAAGATGTCTATATCAAGGTAATTCAAAACTTTCCATGTCCTTTAAAGCTATTAACTTTAATGTTTTTAAATAGATTTTATGTTATTTTGTACACTCATGTTCATGATAAAAAGAACTGGTAATATTTATTTGTTTATTCATTGCTGTAAATACATAGTTATTTAAACATTCAATTTTGAGTTAAATTTAAAAGTTCTTTAAGTTCTAACCATTAAATTTTGAACTAAGAATTTGGAATGAAAACATTTCTATGTTAATATTTTGATTACCCAAAATAAGTGTTAGAAATAAATATATGAATGAAGTGTTAATGATAATCCCTGTGAATCAAGTAATTACTTTTGACCATTAAATTCCCATTCAATTGTACATATAATTAGTCTCAATTAAACTGCATGCGAGATGATGATGTATCCCTTCATATAATTCAAAAATACATTAAAAAATAAATATTTGTAAAAAGTAACTTATTTCAAACTATTACATTTTGTTACATACAATGGAATATTTAATTAATACATACCAATGGTTCATTACTTTTAACTAACTGTACAATTTTAACTGTTTCCTCCTCTTCATCCACTTCATAGGGTACTTCTGGCAATATAGGTAAAAATTCTTTTCTTGCAACTTGGTCATGAGCAGTAATGAAAGCCTGCAATGATTACATCTTTATGAAGATATAACAGCAATCCTTAATTATTCTCACAAATATTAAAATTTTAATCAAACATATTTAACTGGTGATTTAAATTTCATGCAACAATTAAAACTATCATATATACCAGCTCAGTGGCTTGACATTATCAAGCCAGTGAGATCCACAACATTAGCAAAGACCACTGAGAAAATAGAGATTTATAAGAGCAAACTAGAGGAGACTTGTATTAATGCGAGGGATGCGGAAGGCCTTCCATTGGCCTGGAAGTATTATTAAAAAATCTGCCAGAAACTCATAATTTACACATTAATTTTATTGTATTAGTTGACACTTATATTTAGTAGTATTTCTGAGTTTATTTTTATTTTATTCTTTGTTTTTATTATATATATTTTTATACATTACTCATATGTTGTTTTTTTTTTAATTTGTTGTCAGTTTTTTTAATTTAAATATTTATATTCAATCTTGTGGAACGGAAATGTTCCAATTGTCCATTTTCAACCTGATGATGGCCTATGGAATAGGTTGAAACGTTTGTTTTAAATAAACTTTCTCGGCAACAAAAAAGGTGTTTGGTTATTGTCTAATCTATTGCTGAGCACGTTCTATTGAAATGTGTAATACCATTTCTTTGTGTTTATAAATAAAATGTAAATTTTCTATATAATATCTATTCTATGTGAACCGAGGGGGTTGGGCAACGAGCTCATCCCCACTTATAGGTTTCTTTGTCAGGGGATGGCCTATGTTGTAAACGAGTGGGAGGGTTAGTGAGGTCGTGACAATGTGTCAGCCATACTTAAGGATGACATATTTAAACATAAGAATAACATATTTAATAACCTACAAAAATTATACACAGCGAATACAAAAGCAAATAGATACAAAAGATGGAAATAGTTAAAAATTCTACGTTGCAACAATGATTATGACGTTTTATTGTTAGATCTTCGCAGTTCTGGACCTTTTATCGGTCCCAAAATTCTTTAAGTTAAATTAACATTAATCTAGCTTATACCCGTGAGAGAGAGAGGGGTTTAATTTTTCTAAGAGATTACCTCCTCTGCTGTGGCAATCAAGTTCTAAGCAGTCTTTCTTCAGGAGCACGGAGCAGAGGTCCAAATCATTACCGGCCTGGAGTATTCCTAACAGCAATCACCCTGAGGCGTGGGTGCAATCCCTTTTTATACCTGTCCCAGAGGGGGACTATCGGGGAAAGTTCTGATGCAATCCCTTCTAAGTTTGAATTGCGTCTGGGTGTTGTTTATATTAATTGTCAGAAATCGAACATTTCTTTAAATTTATTATCTCTTTTTATCCGGTATTGTTACTCATTCTACCTCATAAAATCGATAACAGCTGTCAAACCAACTGAATTAACTGCTGAAGAAGACTAAGGTCAGGGTATGTAGTGCAACCTTAGTAATAATTGTTCATTTGGTGGGTCATCTGATCAGTTTTATCAACGTTAAAATCGGATGATGTAGGAAGTGTGTGGGTTTGTTCGGTTTGGACTCCCCTTGTCGGTGACCTTTTTGTTACCCTCTATCATGTAACAAGTTTAGGTTCTTGTTAATTGGCTAGTTATTTGTAGATCATAACAAAGGTGGAAATGAATAATCCCTGATCACGAGGGGAAAACTGTATCTGTTGTCCACAACGTGTTTGAAAGTTTAAAAGGTCACTTCTTGAAACAAAGCAGAAAATTGAAAGGTCAAAAAGGTCTAATTTCAACCTCCCAGAAAGGGAAAACTGGAGGAAGAAGGAAAATAATGATTGAAAAAAATATATACAGAATTATACATACTTATGTATTTAAGAGTATATTAAATGTGTTGTCTTGATGAAAAAAAAAATTATTGAGGCTTTAAAATTCACAAAAGAGCTTGATTCTCACAATTTTAATTTAATGAGTTTTTATATAATTAATTCAGTTTGAGATATAGATAACAGAATTAATGATATAAGAGCTAGACCAGGGGTTCCAAAAGGGTTCCAACCCCCAGGGGTCAATAAAGCATTTTCGGAAGTAATTTGAAAATGATTCATTTAGTCTAATAGGCAATGTAGTACATAACAATTCAGGATATTGTAAATATGTACACTAAGTAGATCTTTTCCAAAATAGTGTGTGGATTAATACTGGCTCAGTATTGTATTGAATATATAACTATATAATGACACTATAAATTAAACGAATCTTAATTAATAATTATTGATATATAAATTGTTTACTTACATTTCAGTGGAATTCTGTGTTGTCCAAGATAATTTATTTGGTATGGTCTGCTTAATTTCACAGTTTTTTACCTAGATTGAATAAATATCAATAAGTAATTTGATTTCTTAAATCTTATCATATAATAAATATTTCCAATTTTAATACATTAATCCCACGACTAATGCATTTTATGCATCCCACAAAAATGGCATATTAATTGAAATCATGCTAATCAAATAATATAATCAATACAAATTGATCTAATTAGTCCCAAGACTTTTAAAATGCTATTTTTTGCTAAAAGTCTAAACAGCTTCACAGCCAACGTGTTTTATTTCATAACACTATTAATTAATTAATTACCTAAATTAAATAAAATTAAAAATTTAGATTCTTTTTTCAATCATGGCACTCCCTTACACAATAAAAAAAGAATCTGATATTAGAGCCCTACATCTAATTTTTGCTTAATTGTCATGAATAATGCTTAATTTTAAATGTCAATTTATTTATTCATAAAAATATTGTTGAAGATTTTCACTGAGATATTAAATTATCAAAAGATAGTAGCTTCACAGTATTTGCAATCAATCTTTTCTATGACCAAGTAATTTCTCATATAACTAGTTTAGAGAAACATGGCCATAAATTTAGCCAGGTCTAACCACAGATCTCGGAGGCCCAATTGATAGATTTCTCAGAATGGTCTATTCCCATGTTGAGTGAGAAAAGTGGAATGAATGCAAATCAATGTGTATTGTTAGGCATTGTTTTGCTGAAGTTTATCATTTTCCTTTCTTTACAATAGTGCACATTTGTACTATTATTTAAGTTCTAATTTCATTTGCAAATTTGTTTACTGATGTAAACTAATTCATTTCTGAAGTAACTACTCATTTTCATAATGGACTTATCTTTTTCACCTATGTGTAATAACATTTAGAGCTCTCTCATCCATGGTCAAACTGTCTATTACACACGTACATCTTTCATTTATACTATTTGCTAAATGTCTTGCTAGCTTAAAAATGTTAATCCAACTTTAAAAATAACATGTTAACTGAATTTTCACCTGCATTATTTGAAATTTGTTATCAATTTACAAATCATGTTAAGTTGAAAAAATTAATTCCCATTAATTGAGGGATTACTATATTAAACCTTTATTTTACAATACAGATTTGCTTCCTTCAAATTTATTAATAATAAAAATAATAACTAAATCAATCACCATAAGAATTACAAAATATTCTTGGTAAATTATTAAATTTAAGACCTAAATAAAATAATTTCATAAGTAGCTTTCAATAAAATTCAGTAATAATAATTCATTGTTATATATGAATATTTGTTTAGAATACAGTAGAACCTCGATTATCCGCCCTAATTGGGGACCGGGGTTGGTCGGATAATTGAAAAGTCGGATAACCGAAAAGTATGAAAAAATCCATTATTAATGTAGTATATTATTATATCCCATGTAATTAGTATATTAGTATATCGCTATTAACCTATTTCGCGTTGNATTTAGTAGTATTTCTGAGTTTATTTTTATTTTATTCTTTGTTTTTATTATATATATTTTTATACATTACTAGTATATTATCTTTTTAATCCGTTGAAATTTGAATATTTGTATTCGTTCTTGTGGAACAAAATCTTCCAATTGTCGGTTTTCAACCTGACGATGGCCTATGGAACAGGTCAAAAACGTTTGTTTTAATTAAACTTTCTCGGCAACAATAAAGGTGTTTGGTTATTGTTTATACAGGTATATATAACAACCAAAATTTTGGGAAAATGGTGGGATTCACACTAGTCAATATTGTCACTCTTGATTTGATGTCAGATGAGATTTCTGTAGCCACATGACTCCTTTCCTTCAATAATCTCTCAATGTCACAAATGATATCACTCATGACATAATTTTATAGAATCAATGAACATTTCCTCAATTGCCCAACAAACTACTGCTTGGAAGAGTTTACAAAATGATGAAAATCAGCATTTATGATAAGTTACTTATAGTATCTTGCTATGGCCTCTTGCAAGTTTTTTTATTGACAAAGAATGAATTAAAAAGTGATATACGTATCACTAAAATATCATTATATATATAAATGTTTAGACTCAAAATTGCAGTTTGCATCTGAAATATGGAGCATAACTATTTTACTGTGCAAGGACATTGCATGAAAAACCCAGCATGTTGGATCTGAAAGTCATTGAAGGAATCACCTACTTTTCTATCAGAGAGTATGACAAAGTGATGTTGATGATTGCATGATCAATGACCTACAATAATCATATTAATTTAGTTTGATATTACATCCAATAAATTAGCTGTGATATTGACTACTTTCCACTTTTCCTAACATAGCTCATAATATCATTGATGTAAGTTTGATTATGTTAGCTGTAATTTGTTGGCCTGGAAAACATTATTATTTCTGTCTAATTGGTAAAATATGTATTTAACTACACATTTTAAATATATATTTGACAATGATCTTTAATTTGACATAAATTTAAAATAATTCTTCAGGTAATAAGATCAACAAAAATAAGTTTATATTTAGAAATCAATACAAAAGATTTTTTAGTGCTTTGGGATGACTTTCCATGATCATAATTTACATTACATTACACAAATTATATAAAAGCCATGTCACAAATCCAAGAACTATATACAGCTCTTACAAAGTAGTTACATTATTAAAAATGTTTTTAAATTCATAATCACTACTTTACAACAGAAATTATAAATATAAACCTGTTTTATTTTGTTGATCTTAACATTAACTGGATTTTTGATTTTATTGTTAATTATAAAAAATTAACAAAAGCATGGCATTCAAAACAATTTAGTAACTTATTGTATTTGGTAACTTCAGTTTACATTACAAGTAATAAAAATATCCTTTAGATTTAGCTACCTCTAACTTATTTGAAGTATTTTTAAATGATTTATTCAACATTAAAAAAAAATTCTATAATCAAATATTTCTAAAAATTTTCTTTTAAACTTACGTTATGTAAAATTAACTGATAAAAAACAAACTTACTTTAAAATAGGGTCCACTCAGTATTTCTTTTAGTTCCTTTGCAGTATCATTGGGAATATCACTAATCTCTTCTAAAACCTGTCAAATTATTTTTTAGTTATGTTTCAGAAAGTATTGAAAAAATTTTTTATATTTAAAAAATACAGCAGATTGATTCTCTCATACATAAAATAAATTAGACTATTTTTCAGAATATTAATTTTGAAAGAAAAAAGAATATACAAGGAGTGGACAATAACCATACATGATTTTTTGTCAAAAAACAATCAAAAAAGTCTAATCCCATTTCTCAATTGGACACACTATTCATGATATATTTGTGCTGAAAGTTTTATGACTTCACTTTTGGTATAAAGAGAAAAATCAGAAATATCTTATAAAAAGAAGTTAGGAGTTAATACATACCCCATACAAATGTTCCAAATTACCTCTATCTACTGAGGAATAAGTAGCTGTTTGTCAAAGTATGCTCCTTCGTTTGCATTGCAGAATGCCAAGTGTTATTGTTGTGAAGGACTGCCTGCAAGGTGGCTACTAGAAATCTCTCCAGGAATCTAGTGTCCATCTGTAAACATGTGCTTTGAAATGCCCTCTATCTTACAAAGTCCACAGGTAATGAAAAACCTAGGGGTGTCAAATAGATACTTTATTTGGTGTTTCTAGTGGTGAAATTTCAAACAACCAGAAGTAACATAATAAAACTTTTGGTGCAAACTCTCTGGAATGGTGTGTCCAATCAAGAAACAAATCAAGACTTTTTTGATTGGTTTCAACAAAGAATCATGTGGCATGATTATTATTTACTCAGTTCTGTCCTGTATAGAAAATTCTCATTAATGCATATTCCAAGGGAATCTGGAAGAAATTTTAATTATCTAAATCAGAGTTTCTCAACCGCCGGTCTGACGGACTAGCACCAGTCAGTGGAGAATTTTTATCGCTCTGCATTAAAAAATTTTCATATTTAAAAAAATAATGATAATAATAAAATTTTGTAGTGAATAATGTTTGTGGTGAGTTTTGTGGAATTCTTGTCACTCTACACTTACTAAAAGTATGTGTACTTTAGTCATGTGTCCAAAGGGTAGCATAACTCATAACTATTGTAAAAGCTTGTACACTTAGGCCAGGAATATACATGCATAAAATCTAGCATAATATTGTACTGCTCCCTAATAAAATAAACTTTTCTTTGTTAATATTAACATTGGGTCAACTAAAACATTCATACATAGTCTTGTCTCTATGGCATCTATGTCATCTCTCTCATCCAACAAATTTTCATTTATTAAATTATGAAAAAAAATATTTTATACAACTTTTTAAATTTACATAATTTATGTTTAGCACAGCACCAAAGACAAATTCTTGTGATGCATAATATTTGGGAATGTTCAGGAAAGTACATATGGAAAACTAGAATATTTAAGTGATATATTTTCATGCATTAATGATTTAAACTTAAGTTTACAAGGAACTGTAATAAATGTGTTTCATTTATTTAATAAAATATATGGATTTAAGAAAAAATTAATTTTTGTTTGGATAAGGAAAAAAACAATAATGTTAATATATTTAATAATTATTCTGAGTTTGTTAATGAACTTATCAAAATTAAATATAATCGTCGAGCAACACTTACAATCTTTAAGTAATAGTTTTGAAAAAATATTTCCCATCTGAAAACCACATGTGAAAGAAATTTGTGGATAACAAACCCTTTCATAATATATGACAGTAATAAATTAGATTTAAGTAACAGAGAATATGAGTTCATCTTTGAAATTAGTTCAGATATTATGTTAAAAACTAGGTTTTCAATAATGTCTATAGATAAATTTTGGATCAAAATGAAAAATGAATATCCATCTCGAAATGAGAAAGCGATGAAAATGTTAGTCCCCTTTGCAACAACATATTTACATATTTATATGAAGCAGGATTTTCAACTATGACAGTAATAAAAAATAAATTTAGAAATAGACTTTCAATTATTTCACTGCTCTGACTCAGCTTGACTAATTTAGAACCCACAATTAAAAAGTTAATTGAAGAAAAGCAGCAGCAATCTTCTCATCAGCAATGTATACCAAATAAACAAAAATTTTAAATTTATAATTTTTAGTAATCATAAGACTGATTTTTTATTGTGTCCTATATGCAATGTTTTTGTGATATTATCATGGTTTTCTATGATTTTTGTCAAAGATTTATTTATATAAAATAATTATAATAATTACTTATATTTACATTTAAATATTATTGTAGGTAAATGATAATAATAATTTTACAATTTACTTCTGTAATAATTCTTTAATATCTAGTAAAAGATTTTCGTTAAAACACCACCAGTCCACAAAAATTTTTTTTTCACAAATTTTACCAGTCCACAGGCCAAAAAAGGTTGAGAAATGCTGATCTAAATGACTCAATTATCAAAAGTGACTAACAAAAAAATACATGTAAAAATTTAGAAGACAATACAACTTTTTACAAGTTACAAGAAAGATAAACATATTGCATTTATTAAATCCAAAATATTAAACATCACTCTTTTATTTAATGTTATAATGCTGCACTATTTTTACTAAATCATTCATTGTTATGAAATATTTCTTATTCTGTAAAGAGTCTACTTTTACTTTAAATAAGTGTTTCTCAACCTCTAACAAATCGTCGTCCTCTTCAATAAAATCATTACGTAGTATCGTCCCCTTCAATAAAAAGCATTACGTAGTATCGCCCCCTTCACTTCAAAATTCCGATGCCAAGGGCCAAGGCTAATGCCAAATTCGTACTGCATTGAAGAGACTAGTGACTAGTATAATGTTATTTGTTTAATTATTGTACGATATAATAAATAAAATATCTAATTATTCTTAATATAATGTTTTACTATATTGCCCAGAAAATTGTTTTTCGCCCCCCAAAATATAAATTGTTACTAATCGCCCCCTCAACATGGAAAAACGCCCACATGGGGGCGATATCGCCCCCGTTGAGAAACACTGG